GCGCAACATTAACTGGGCTTATTAATCGTTAAATATAAATGCAATATTAAGTAATAGATGGGCGCTGTAAAATACCCTTTACACGAATACAGTTAACTGTACTATGCAAAGCAAAAAAAGTCTTCTGTATCAAAGATGATATCAAATACTTTGAAAATATTGGCCTAGCTTAGCTCTGTCACACATACATTGATGGTGTTTTCATGACCTTTGACCTCTGGCGTTTGGGGACCGTTTTAAGTGTACGGCGCGTGAAATTGTTAAAGTGTTTAGCGACATTGCATAAGCAAGCATCCACATGGTCTTAACCACTTGAATCGTTGCTGAAGGATTTTATCGGTCCCGCAACGCATTGCTTTAATGATTTTGAGAGCGCCAAGTGGGCTGTTGAAAATATATGTGTATTTAGATTGTGAGTGTCTTAAATATGCGTGCGAGTTGAAGGGCTATTAGAGACACGCCTGTTTGGGTCTGCTTTTAAGCGCTACTCACCGCACATTTAGGGCCAGCACAGAGCGATGGTGCAACTAGAAAGTATGCCACATGTTACATTGTCTGCAACAACACTAAACTTGGCCACGAATTCCGCTTGCCAGATACAAACGCAAATTTCTGGGCTCAAAGCCTTCAATGGGCTGCGGCAGCGCACGTAACGCTTTGAGCTCCAGTTATACATATGTGTGTGTTCGTGTGTGTGAGTGTGAGAGTGTGTGTGTGTGTGAGTGAATGTATGATATATGCTTATGTTTTGGTTTTGTTGCCATTTTGTATCCTATAGAGGGCAAGTCCTTAGTGCAGTTAAGGGACTTAACTCGCAAATATAAATTTATATTATTGAATACTCACAGACACTAACACACACAAGCACACTCCCACGTGCATTACGTATACGCAACTTTGTGTGGCTTTTCGACGACATTCTGACAATTTAATACAACATAACTAACAAGTGTTTTCGTTGTTTTCGTTGTTGTTGCTTGTTAAACATGGCCGAAATCAATGTGAAGCCCGAATCCAACGTAGTAAGTAAATTTGTTTGTCCAACTAACAAAAACATATGCAATACATGGCTTTAAGCAGAGTTGGCCGAGTGTATAATTCGATATATGTTAAAATAAATTATGTTGTTGTAGTTGGCCAAACTAAGCCATTAAAGTCAACACAATACTATGTGTGCTCAGACCAAAAGTATCTCATGAAAACTGGTAGGCAATGTGCAAATATAAAAATGTGCAAAAGGCAAGGCTAACTCTGGCCAACAAACAATGCAAAGGCTTAACGAAATATCCTGGCCCGATTTCCCTTTGCTTTTGACCAGTTCATGCGAACAAAACTAGCTGCAATTGTTGTTTATGTATAAGCCGTATTCCTTTGATGCATGCATTCCAATTAGACCTCTTCCTGGGCTTATATGGTCGGTACTTTTTCGCTTTGAGAGTCCTTGGCATATTGTTTCTTTATTGTAGCTTTTGTTTGTGTACTTGTCAGCTACTCTGTAATCCAGTTAGCTATTTCTTTATGTTTTGTTAAACAATTTGAGTAGCGCAATTTCTCATTTCAATTGGAATTTCAACTTTGTCAATCCCATCAAAAGGCTTAAAGTAAAACGATATAACACAAAATATTGGTATTATTCCATTTAAATAACAATCGGTTGAGAGTGCAAGGCCAAAATATACCCTAAATTTAGGATTTACACTTTCGTTCACATTAGATTAGTTGCTTGTCTAAAATTATTTTATTATTTTAATCACAATTTCACAGTTTTTAAAATAAATAGTGTTCGAAGTATAATATCCATGAAATGAACAGCTTTATTCACAGGATTTCACCAGCTCATGTAAACTAGCAAATTTTTCAATCCTGTTGTCCATTATTTGCAGGGTATATGAACATTCACAGTTATTTGGTTAGAGAAAATCAAAAATTTATTTTATTTATTTTTAATTTTCTGTCAAGTATATAAATTAAATACAAATATTTTGGCAAGTCGCACCTTAATCCCATTAAAGAAGCATTCAAAAACAAACGTATTTTGCAGCAAATCAATTTTCATAAATCGTAAAACCGGACTCAACATTTAGAAGCAACAACAAGTGAACGTCTCAGAATTTTTTGTGCAGACTTTAACTCGTAATGGTCATTCGGTGGCTGCTCATAAATTGTGGCAGCAATTCAAATTGCTTCTGCAGCCATTGTAAGAAGCAGAGGTGTATAAATGTGAGTGTCTGTGGGTGTGCAATAAAATAGCAGTTGTTGCTTTTGCTCTGGCTCTTTGCTGCGCCTAAAAGCAGACATTGAATAAATTATTCAGCAGGGCACGCTGGTGTTGCCTTCTAATTCGCCCACTGCGAGATTATTATGTGCGGTGTGTTTGTGTGTATGAGTGGGGCGTGGACAGTGGAGATTGTGGCCCTGCTAGCTCATAAAACTGCAGCATTAACTTGCGACTTCTGGACGCACTCGCGTCTATTGAGCACGCATAAAACCTAACAGTTGTAATTGTGCTGTAAACACGCAGCTCAAATGGCACTGTAAACGTGCGTAAGTGTGCGATTGTGTGGGTGTGTGTGTGTGTGTGTGTGTGTGTGTGTGACTGGCAGCTCTTGACTGGCCACACCCATTCACTGGAGACTGCCGCCTGCACTGCGGCACAATTTAATTTATGTGTCGGATTGTGGTCGGCTTGTTGATTTTGTTGTTGCTTTTTAGACCTCTTTTATTTTTATTGACCACAACACACACTCACAGAACAAATAACCCATTCACTGCATGATTTAATATGGCATAATTTGGCATGCATTAAAGGAGCCTCAAATTGTTCCAAATTGCCTGAAAATTGCATTTGCGCCTCCGACAGATCTCTAAGTCCCGAGAGCTGTGAAAGAAAGTCATGCATACTTTTTAGCGCATTAAACGAATATTTTTTGTTGTCCATATTGTTGTTAACACATTCATTTGCATCACAATTGAAATCGGAGAGAATCCTAGGTCTTTTGTCTAGGTATTGTGCAGTTGAGTTTTTTCTGGAACGTTTTCTATTTGATAAAAATCTTGTGTTGCCAGAGCATAAAGGAATTATGGCATTTTTGTAAAATTCTATTCTCGTTGTTAGTTGAGTTGCTCTAGAAAATGGTTATTATAGAGAAATTGCCTTACTCTGCTCTACTTGAAGCTCAAATAGATTTGTTAAACGTTTCTTACTTGTTCTTCTTAATGTGAATTGATAATGCGTTGTGGATTTTTCTATCCTTAATCCTTAAAAATATATTTTATCTTCATTATTGGAATGTGCATGCGCTTCTTCGGCAGAGGTCACTGCAAACTGCATTTTTATTTCAAAGAATGCAACAGAATGTTTTTGCCAAAATAACGATTGTTATATAATAGTATGTGTGTGCGTGTGTATGTGCGTGCGTGTGTTTGTACGCGGAAGCTGCAATACTAAGCCGAAAACATTTATTTGCGATAAAATACAGCGAAATAATTGTGGGTAAATATGTGTGCAATAAAAATTCATTAAATTGCCAAAAGGAGCTCTCGCACATGTTGACCCAGTTTTGTAGATGTGCCACAAGTTTTCTAGGATATCTTGCAAATGTTGGTCGGAAAGCGAAAATAACTGAGTACATCCGGTGTTAAATATTTTGGACTTCAGAACGCAATTAAAATAATAAAATACTCTTATATTATAGGTACAATTGCTTAAAACAGCTGAGAAAAACGATGCTATTTTATTGCGAATGTCCCAAAAATGGTGTACTTGGTGATTTTATGGTACACTCAACAGACTCTATTTTTTTTTGCATCTGAAATATGATATAATAATTATGAAAAGCGTAAATATTCGTAACATATTATTATTAACATTTCTTCCCTTAACATTTTCCCTGCATGAAATAGCATAGCCGCTAACATAACTTTAACATTTGTGCTAGTATCTGGCAAAAATTAATCTGATCTGCAAACAGCTGCCAAGTCATAGGCACATAAATGTAGCCAGAATAGTTGGCCGCATTCAGTCAACCCAGAGACTTGATTGACTGGGTTGACCGTACGGCTCTAATACGCCAGACCAGCGAATAGTTTCAAGAGCGCCTTTTATTTTTTGCTACACCTTAGATTCAATTTTAGATAAGTGGCTCGAGTGCTGATGATAAAATGCAATGCACATAAAGCTCGGAGCTAAAAAATGTGTAGAAAAAGGCAACCCCTTTGTTGTGATATCCATAAGTACTTATAAGGGAGGTTGTGTGCAGTAGCCAAGCAAACAGCGCAACCGACATTTCCACCTGCCGAGGTCTGATAATAAACACTGATAAGCTACAAGGGGCATGGCGTTTTCTGTGAATATACCAAGCTGACAGCCAACCTCAGCAAAGAACCAGCCTCACCTGTGCTACTTATCAGCGATGACCTGCGCTGTGAAGTGTCGACGACACATTGAAATGACAATTTATGAATGCCAAAACACGCGAGCGAGAAGCGAACCGTGCGATGCTAATACAAAGAAAAACAAAACAGTGTGCTTTAGTCGGGAGTGCACGACTGGGAGGTACCCAGTACCCAGTAGTTATTTAAAAAGTGAAATATTCTAAAAATCAATTTTATTTCGCTACTTCTTAAAAAAAATACATATTGATAAGCATTTGAAAAATAGTTCGAGATATTGAAAAACAAACTATTTTTTTTTTCTTATATCAATTTGTAAGTCTCCAACTCTTATATCTTACGAAATCTGAGAGTTCATAAGAACGGACTAGATTGACTCGGCTTTTGACTTACAAAAACATGAAACATTATGCCTACTTTATTCACTAGCTGTGAGTACAGGGTATTAAATAACCACAAAATGTTATCGTATGAGACAGACATTGCTTGACGAGAGCATTTGGGCAGAATTTTGGAACTGCGCATGTTTTTTTTTCTTGGCACAAGCAAACACTTTCGTCGACTACTCTCTGTACTCAAATCTCTATCTACAGTTCGGTTTGTTTTTTCGCGGCTTGCACTTGAGAGCAGCCGTGAGCGATCATCAGTTGTATCAAGTTCTAAAGATGAACAAGACGCTTTGTTTTTCCCTACTACTGCGTGAGTCTATAGATTAATTAATGTTCAGCTCAAGCTGATTAGTTGAAATTTACATAAAATACAATAAGATGTTTACAGTTTTTGCACGGGCTGGCGCAGATTGTCACCTTGGGGCTGAGGAGATCTCTCAGACAAATCGCGTCTTTGCATTCCGTGGCGATGATCAGCTATATCCGTTGCGCTTGGATGTGGTGCGCACCCACCAAACGTTGGAAATGTTTTGCAGTAACCGGGATGTGGTGCACACCACTTGCCAGCAAAATGGTCGCTTAAAGCCGCCATTGCCGTTAAGCGATTGCAGCAATCCGCCCAAGTCAACTGTGGAAGTGGTTTCCGATGAGAGCTGCCCACATACCATGTACCGTGTGGGCTATAAGCTGAATGATCAACAGTTTCTGGAGCTATACAGAAGTTGTTATGATCCTGGAAATCAAACGGCGCATTTTGTCAAACATCTAGTTTATCCAAGCATGCTGAGTAGGTTGAAATGGTGAACACCTAATGCAGTTGCATCTCAGATCTTTACCATTCCTGCAGACATAGCTCGACCCGAACAGGCCTTTACCACAGATGGCGTAATTAGCAGCGCCGGGTCCGCCTCTTTCCAGGCCAAGCACATATATTCTCGCTTCCAGGAACTGCTGGGATCACATCAGACATTTGTTAGCTCCCGGCGGGAGCTGGTATTTGATCGTGGCCATCTGGCCCCCTCAGCTGATTTTGGCTTTGAGCAATATATGCGTCAGACCTTTAAGTACATCAATGTGGTGGCTCAGTTTCGACGCATCAATCGTAGCAACTGGAAAACCATCGAGAACTGGATACGCAAACAGCTTAACATTGGCTTTTATCCAGCGCTGCAGGTGTGCACTGGAGCATTAGGCGTACTGCAGCTACCAGACAGCAGGGGAGATTTGAAAGCGATTTATCTGGGCGCCAAGCGTAGTAATCCCATACCCAAATGGCTATTCAAGATTGTTAGCGACGGTGCCGGCACTCACCTCGCCTTTCTCACCTACAACAATATTCACGACATTGAGAAATTGTCACCGAATTGCCGGCAGGTTTCATGTCCTTTTTCCCTGCAGCTAATCCCTAACAGGGAAGCAGGTCTCAGCTTTTGCTGCGATCCTATCGATTTTATCAGAAGGAATGTACCCCATTTGGCAAAGGTCTGCTAAGATACGGACAACAGGTCAGATATCAGTATATGAAATTCAGATTAGTATATTAACGCTGTCTTCTAATTTCCGAATAAAAAGTATATTGAAAGTGAACATATCATATTTCAAAGAGAGTTTTGCATTAATATAGAGAGCTATAAATCAAGTTAATAACCCAACTTGTATTGCCCACAAATTTAAGCCACAATTTAAATGCAATTGATATACTGCAGAACATTTCATTAAGATCGGTTAAGTAACACGTGCCTGCGGCAGCTAGCGCATTTCAAGAATTTCTGTACACACACACATTCATGCGCGTTTGCTTCGAATTCTATCAACAGCATTGCAATTGCGATTGTATTGCTTTCTGTGCTGCTATTTTAATTTGATTTTTTCTCATTATAAAATAATGATTGGTGTGGCGGTTGTTCGAACCCTGCCAAGGGAACTTTTTAAACCCTTGCAGAGGGTATTATAAGTTTGTCGTGAAATGTGTAACGCATAGAAGGAGACATCTCCGACCCCATAAACTATATATATTTTTGATCAGCATCAACAGCCAAGTCGATAGAGCCATGTCCGGCTGACCGTCTGTCTGTCTGTCTGTTTCTATGCGAACTAGTCCCTCAGTTTTGAAGCTTTTTTAATGAAATTTTGCAGAAGTCCCTCTTTCTGTTGCACGCAGTACATATGTCAAAACCAGCTGGATCGGACCACTATCTCATATAGCTGCCATAGGAACGATCGGTCGAAAATTGCCCAAACTCGGCATTAACTATTTTCCCTGTGCTTCTTAGATACGGGCAAAGCACTATAAGCATTATGAAAAGATTAGGTCTGCAAGGGTATTAGATCTTCGGCGTGCCGAAGATAGCCTTTCTTTTTCTTTGTTCTTTCTTTTGGAGTAGAACCTGGCGACTAGAGCCTCTTATTTGTATTTAATTTTAAAAGTGGAGTGTCAATTTAATTAATAGCTGATAGCCAAGACCAATGTATATGTAGCGAACACATGTTTTTTTTGTTGACATTTGTACACCATAAAAGAGACAAGCAACCTTAACTAAAATACATATTTTCAGCAAAAATTACTTCCGTTTATTTGTTGTTTTTGTACCCCCTACAAACTACAAGCAACTTTAACAACAAAACTTATTTTCAGTAATGAAAGTTGCAAAAAATATTTTCGCTTAATTTTCGCAATTGATAAAAAAGGAAATGAGTTTTTCGCTTAAGGTTGATTTGATTTATGAATTCTTTTTGCAGACATAACACTCACGATAGAAATTAAATTATACTAATATGATGGCTTCAAATCTTTTATGCATATGCAATATAATTTGGCAATTTTATCATTTATGCAGGTTGAGTCTTCCGCATAGGAATTTGTGCGACTTATTTTCTCCACATCAACGTCCACATTATTGGTAACATTATTATAGACTACAGTTGCGAAAAAGTCGGCGCTATTCTGTTGAACTTTGAACTTGGTGCGATAGACTGCCACATCCATTTTTTGGAATTCATGAAATTTCTGTTCTGGACCGATTTGAATTTCCGTTTTATGAATATAGCTTAAGGTAAGATTTGTGCAGAGGCTGCTTAGATTTTTGCCCCTTAGATAGTCGTTCATGCGATCGATTACCCGAGGAGCTATGCGATCTGCCCATTCATCTGAAAGCCTTTTATACGGCTTGCAGGTGCAATAGTGCTCCGGTATGCCAGCATCCGCACAGGTTCGCGTTGCATTTACAGGGTAGAACAACGATTGACACCTGGGACAGTCGTTGGCCTTTGGCAGTGGAGCAGAATTGGGTAGACCGGCTATTTCGGCGATGTGCTTGAGAGTATTATGCAGATCATAATTGGATGTCAGACGATTGCGGTTTGCCGTTAAGGCTTCCGCAAATTCCGGATATTGCGCCCGAAACCAGGGCGGCAAATAGATAAACATCATGGGCAAACGCTCCTCTAAGAATCCGCTGCTTAAATACATTAATTTGCCATACCGTGAGCCATGATCAGAGAAGAATATAACAATGCTCTCATCCAACACACCGTCCGTCTCAAAGTCCAGTAAATACTGTAAAACAAAGTCAGCCATTTTCGAGGGCATAGCATAATCGTCATGGCTAAAACTGCTCGACCAGAAAAGGCCCCAAATGGGTCGCTCATCCACATAGCGTCTGGCGAATTCCTTTGCATAGTCATAAATATAGCTACTTTGAATGCGTCGGCCGATGCAATATTTAATTGTGCACTTGGCGCATTTCCAAGTTTTCATCTCACTCTCGAAGGCTCGCAGAAGTGGTCTATAATAGTAATCCGTCGGCTGCAGCGAAAAGCCCGGCTTTACGTAGTTGAATGTGTTTATGTTGCACGTATCCTCCGCATAGGCTGTCAAATATCCAGCATCCTTCAAATACTTCCAGATAAAGGGAATACGAGCGAAGCAACCTTTTTCATCCGTATCGCAGATTGTCTCCTTGACCGTGTCGGGCGTAAAGCCACTAAGAATGGCCATTAAGTTTGGAAAAGTGTTATCTGCAACCTGAGTATTGTGTATGTCATTTCCTTTTATTTACATATATTCAGCATGAGCTCACCTTATTATAGCCCTGCATCTCATACCAGCCGCTGCGAGTTAAGAATTTGTAAACTTTGGGCATGGTGCGTCTTAAATTAATTCTCGATATACTATCGATTCCAAACATTATGACACTGGGCTTTCGCTGCGCAGCCTGTGCTGGAGCTGTTTTCAGAGTCGGCACTGCGGATGGGAATGGCTTGTATTGAATAAACCCGAAGGCATCCGTTTGCAGGACATTTGAGTCATTGGCCGCCTCGCTGCAGCCCAATATCATGCCCTCAACGTGCAACGGTACCACGTAACCCTGGCTGAAGTATATCCTCGGCGGCAGGCTAAAGAGAACATATTTGCTGTTAATATTGCTAACATCTACAGCCTGGATGTGGTTTTAAAAGATCTCTCGTATTTACTAAATAACAAAGTTTCAGTTTCTTAATGCAATTGATATTCATGTAACTCAAATTGTTTCTCTAAATTTTTAATATTTCTAAATTTGTAATCGACATAAGAATTATTATATTCATGTTTTTCGTGATGAAAGTAAAATATGAAACGTTAGGTAATTTCTATATTTTACATTCTTATATTATTTAATAATTTTCTTTGCATTTTGTTTTATAAAATTGTTCTTGGATTGATATTTAATATGTTTAACGGCAAATCGTGTAAAGAGCCGTTTAATTAAATCAATAAAGTAAGTACGTTATAAAAAATACCTTATTTTTATGATAATACTTTCAATATTCAATCTTATCATCATGGGTTGAGCCATTGTGGTTGTGAAAACAACGAAAATTATGTTCGCAAAACATACATGTTCCAAGAAGACTATCAAACTTTAGAAAACAGATAGCATAGCTGACAATTGAAAAAAATTCAAATCCACGATTTTAACGAATAACTTTAATTTGAAATGCTACAAATTCTGATAATCTCTTATAAAACCACACCAGAAATTGACAGAAAAGTTCTTTACTCGTTATAACTGTCGTGTTCAGCATATCGCGTTATTTCCTGGTAATAACAATTATACTCAATTTCACTGGAATTAAGTATTTTCGCTGCGACACCTTCATCAATATGGAGCACATAGCGCTTGCGATTGACATCGAAGATAGGTGTTACTAGATCCGACTCATTGGTACATGTCTCGAATACCATGGGCTTATAGATTGCCAACAACTCCTGTGAGAAGGGATCTATGTATGGCATTTTACAATGTGGACTGTTCACATAGTACAGTTGCTGTGGGAGTTCTGGCGACCCTGGGCTGTCATCTACCCGGTGGGTACTATTTTCGGAATGATCTCTCACACTATCACTAGGTCCTGTGCTGCTTGCATGCATTTTATATATTTTGTTCCTTGTATTTAAACCCATATCTTGATTGGTTAGACAGTATATTAGGAGCATTGTCAGGAAACAGATACCGAGCCATTTGAAACGCGAATGAGAAATTGCAGAACCGAAATACATTTTGTAACTCAATTCACGACGCACAGAATCAGACTGCGGAGTCCCCGCAAAGGCAGCTCCGTAAACATTGCGTCCGTAACTTTCATTATCAGCAAAAACGTGGTTATAATTAGTGTTTTACCGGGCTACTCAGCATTGAGAGGAATAGGTGTGCATCTGAACGCTGCAAAAAGTGCTGTTTACTAATTAGTAAATGCACCAATAATAAATTAACATACGTTTTTGCACATAAGAAACAGACCTATCTTAAAGTCGTTGCTCCCTGTATGAATTTGAGCCAAATTTTTGAAATGTTTCCATGTTCCGCTCGATAAATCAGCCAATTCTAGTAAACATTCAGCTTGAGCATTGGCACACTTTCGATAGTGTGCGTTAACGAGAATTGGTTAGTGTTATTAAAGGGTGTGTTTTTTAAATGCTTCGCTTCGACAGATATGCAGATAAACAGTTACAGAGAAAATGTTTACTCACGTGTGGCTTTTGGCTCGTGAGCTATGCATGTTTGTCGATAACTAAATTGGTTGACATGCGGTTTTTTGCAATTACATGTTTTACTCTTTCCTGAAGCATATTGCTTTGATAACAGATTGACTAGGGTTGGTATTGTAGCATTGATACGCATTATTTTCTTATCTTCTACAGCAAATATACCGTTCTTCTTTTTAGTATCAAATGAAAATGTTTGCGCGGTTTGTCGTAACACAGTTCGTACATACATTTTTTTAACATTCAACTTCATTTTTTTTTTCAGCTTTTAAACATCAAAAAGTAGATTTAGAAAAAAAATGTTTATAGTTAGTTATTCTGACTCGCAACCTTTCGAATTAAAGCAAAGTACCATACCGTTAAAACATGTAGTTACTCAACTTATACAAAGATGGCGTTTTGGCTGCACACACCATGTAGCGTCAAAATTAAGTACTGCTGGAAGCAATAGTAATGAATACCAAAAACTACTGTTTTGGTATTTTGAACCTACGCACACTGGTCACATTTGTTGATTTGAGGCAACATGTCGCTAAGCATTCTCATGTGACTAAACATGTATACAACACCAAAAATACTAAAATATAACCGAATTTATCTACAAGCTGGTATTTTTTGGTGAGCCCATCTCGGGCACATTGTTTTTGGCTTAGTTGATATTTGAGAAAATTTGAGCGTGTCTGCGCGTATTTGCGGTGCGTGAAAAATATTTAAAACTAACAAATATGTAGTGAAATCATCGGAAATAAGCAACGCACATCTTAGCTGGGCCACTGTGCTTTGAGTTTGCCAAAAATAAAATAAAAATAAATAAAAATGTTGCTTTCATAACGCGTACTCAATGTGCAACTTTCCACCAAAGAAAAAGAAAATTATATCCTTGCCCACGCAGGATAGGCGTGCAAAGCAAACAGGAGAATAATACCAAGCCGAAAGCAATTTGCCGCAGTCACAACAGTGAATACAAATTGAAACAAATCGTTGTAAGAAATGCATTTGTGATTAAAATAAGTGAAATGTGCAGCATGCAACAACGCGTTGTAAAGTAAGAGGCAAGCAAGCAGAGGAAGAACAAACAAAACCAAACAACACAAGCCCACAAACGCAACGTGAGCGAGCGAGCGAGCGGGCGAGCGAGGGCTAAAGCTAGCAAGAGCGAGAGAGCAAACACTGTGCACCGCCGTCGCCAGCTTCGGCGTCAGCGTCGGCGTCGCGTCTGCCGCTCACAACAAATTATCGTTTAATTTCTTTCGTTTTTGCACAAACCCAAAGCGGGTGACTTTTATGCCTTCTGTGCAAGCGTCGTTGCAGCCACCACCAACCACCCGCGCGCGTCTCTTATCAGCCATTAATAACTGACGGCAGCAGAGAGGTCACCGCTCTGTGTCATGTTTGGCTAAAGGTAAGTCTATCAAACGCCCACACACGACCTCGCGCTTAAAGTCGCGTAGGAAATGAATGCCAATTGTACGTAGAATTAGTCAAAAACACGTTTGCCAACGCTCTTTCACGTCTGCAGCCAATTAAAGTTGCAGCTAATAAAAAAAAAGAGTTGAAAAAGTTAGTAATAACTTTGCAAATGCACCGACTGCGCAATACTCTCTTCGCTGTGTAAAAATGGCTCGACAAAAATCTTATTGATTGTGATAATTACACGGTTCCACAATTCCGTGACTAGAAATATCGAGTCGCGCTATATAAAAGTAGGATCTCGAGCATTGGGGGATCACCGGTGACACCCTACCTTTCACATTTGGTAACTCCGAGATTCCTAAGCTTTACAAAACCAATGTAGTAGACGGACGCAACATGGATCGCTTCGGTTCTAGAGAGTACATACGAGAATATTGTATGTTTAAATCTCATAAAATATGCATGTTGCAGTTGCCAAAACTAAACAGTGCATACTCTTCTTCCTTTTGTAAACAGAGTATATAGAGAAAATTATAAGCGGCGCGCCGGCTGCTGCTGCACTTCAGCGCTGCTCAAAGCCAAACGAACCAGACAGCAACAAAAACAACAACAAATGGGCGAAAACTACTACAAAGTCGTGTGTGTGTGTGTGTGTGTGTATATATATATATAAATATATATACAACAAGAACTCGGCGCATACTTTAAATAGTTGATGTAACTGCACACAATGTTCTCCGTTTGTGGCTTTATTTTCATTTCTGTTATGATTTTGTTTTTTTTTTTTTTTGCCCTGTGCCGGCAACTTTATGAATTGCAAGCACAACAATGCGCCCTGTGCCACGCCCCAAAGCTTTGGCATAGGCTCGAATGGATCGCATGGCATGGGTTGAGCTGCGCAGACAAAGCGCCGACAGCGACGCGACGTCTGCAACAATTCTGGATGATATCAACATCAACAGCAACAACAACAACAACAACAATAACAACAACAAGAACAACAAACATCAACACTATGAAAAAGCTTCACTAGAACTCGGTATGAATCAGACACAGTCGAAGAAAAGTTAAGCAAGCATGCGCTAATTTGAGCATGCCCGACTTTGAGATACTGTGTTGTAACTTAGTATATGCTTGTTAGAAGCTATGTATAAAGAGAGCTGATCTCTCGACTTTTCGGCCAATTTTTGCCTTTACAAATGCATTTTTCGTACTTTTTCCACAACATTTTCAAAGGGGCAAACGCTACTTTGATCTGTGAATTGTACAATATAAAAAACATTTAATGGCAAAAACAGACTTCTTTTAAATTTTACTTTGGCAACAGAAACAAAAAATAAGACTGAATTCAGATCTCACAGTTGTCGTTGTGGACTCTAGTTTGTATAAATTATTTTAATCCATTTAAGTATAGGCTGAAAGTGTTTATTAAATCATAAAACGATTTAGTTTATTGACTAGTTTAGGCCTCTTTTTATACGCTTGCTTCTTAAAAGTATTGCTACATCTATCCTCCGGGTAACTAACAATAACTTTACAATGAACAGGCCTATTCGTGGTAACAATATCAATGCGTTCAAACTATTTATTAAATAAGTGGACTTTGTTTGGATAAAACATAAATGTCGGCTGGTACACAGACCTGTGTGCATATGCACACAGCAGTTCTTGGCGTTTACAGGGTATGGGGAAAATCAGCAATGACTAGCTGCCTGGCGCGATGATTCTGTCATAAATTGCACTGGAATTCGGTTTAACGGTTTTGTTTGTTACATTTGGACGTTTGCGCAATTGACGTAATTGCCAGACCAAAAGCCAGAGCTACATAAAGTCAGACCTGGCCCAGACAGTGTAGTGACACGTGCTTGTATGTGTGTGTGTGTGTGTGTGTGTGTCTGTGTGTGTAGGGATGTTTGCCTGTAGCTCCGACTCCGACTGTCTTGTGGCCATTGAAGCTCAAGAGCAGCTGACTCTCAGACCCAGACCCAGACCCGTTTTTCTCTCGGCCTTTTGCATTTTCATTTGCGTTTTGCGGTCGCGCATTTTTCCACTTTTCTATGCTGCTTGCCAGGAACTTTTCATAATTTGCTGTGCGCTCGTTTTATTTTTTTTTATGCTGTTCTGCGCTTTCTTCAAGCATTTTGGCAACACTTGCCCCTCAGTCGAAATCTTTAACGAGCTGCGTACAATTTAAAGCTCCTCGACAAGTTTCCGGAATCGGCATCAGTGTTGCGAAACGCTGGCAGGCAATTTGTGGAGACCTCAGTCATTAAATTTTCATTACCCACTCAGGCCAGGGCTGTGCGTCCTGTGCCGCAGCATTAAAATTTAACCACTCGTCAGATCCCTTGTAGGCAGCCACTTAAGGACACGGCTGCAAATTAATTGAATTGACAAAACCAAAAACGAAAATGAATAAAAAAAAAGGGCAAAAGTATTCTTGACGCCAGTGCCTGCTAGGGATATGCCCTGCAAAGTACCCTCGCAATTAATTGTGCTTCTTCTTGTTCTTGAACCCATGCTATGTAACATTCTTCATTTTCTTGTCAATATCTCATGCTTATAAAATTGTCACTGCTTGAAAATGAAGATAGAGTCTGTATATACAGCAAAATCCAAGAATGAGCCTCCCAAAGTGCGTTTTCTTCTTTAACATAGGGATGTGGAAGAGGTTTTATACTGGTCAAAGATTCTTGATAGATGGGCTTAGGATTTCTAGTCTTATATTATTCGATTTGTTCTCGAGCCCCGGAAATCGCTTTCTCTAAGTTTTGAGCAAACGAGAGGCATTATCGGTTGACACTAAAAAACAAAACTCGTACTCGTATGAACGGGAAGTTGCAAATGAGCTAGATAATATCGGTGAGATATATACACATGCCCCAAGCATAAATATTTGTAATATAATTAATGTGTTGTGGATTTGGGTACCGGCAGGTCCTTTAATGCCTCAAACGCACGCGAGCAGGACAAAACAAGGCCTGAGTCATTCAATCATTCAATGGCACAAGTCATAAACTTAAATGGGTTGTCCTTGTTGTTGCTGCTGTTTTGTTTGTTGTTGTCTACTGGCCCAGGGTCAAGAGCTGTTCTAGGCAACCCGCTGGCTTTTCCTGG